GAGAATGGAAATGTCGCAGAGGAGAAGAGCAGCAGAGAGGTGTGATATGAGGATCCAGGAGGAGACGTTTATGAATCTAGCTGGAGAAGTCCTCAGATTGAATGGTGTAAATGTCTAGTAAATGTCGTCTAGTAGGCCCAAAGGCTTTGTGCTCAGGCACGCACTGGTTCTAATTCTTACTAATTGTATAACCTTGGGGAAGTCTGCAAACCTGTCTGAGCTTCGGTTCTTTCAACTGTAAAAGGCAGGCCACATGCCTGTGTGAGAGTCATTTTTATGTTTAAATGAAATGACAGAAGTGCATGCACCAATGAATGTTATTTGCCTTGCCCTCTGCTTTTTGACCAGAAAATAGATCTCTTGAGGTAAAACAATAAGGACAATTTCCTTTTATTCTTCTTTCCACTTTTATCCTTGACTTTCACAAAGAGAAAGGGTGATAGAATTTGAGTTGGAAGGAATCTTAAAGAAAAATAGCTTATCAGACCAGAAGGTCCTTAGAGATCTTCTAGCCCAGCTCCCTCACATTTTAGGCCCAAAGGTAAAGAGACTTACTTCTCAATCTCAGGTAAGGCAATCAGAGGATCAGAATGGGAGGATAGGGATTGGGGCGGGCAGTTGGCACCCATTAAGGTGGCTATCATCGTGGTGGTAGTCAGTGCTCATGCAAGTCCTCAATTTTAGGTCTTTCCCAGTTCTAAACTGAAATGCATAGATGAGTGTCAGCATTGGTACTGGCCCTAGAGCTGTCTCAGAAAACACATAGGATTATTGCAAAGAATGAATGAGACGACATATATATATAACATTGGTACAAGCCATGCTGGAGTTCAGTAAAGGGTAGCTATTAAACTTTGATTGACAGAGTTTAACAGACTAATACATTAAATGAGTTGGTGGCAGAAGACAGAAGTTGTGCTTACTAAATGGTTCCTTTGAATAAGGTGCTGACCTAGGAACTAAAGCTTCTAAGTAGGCATCCGTGTTCCTGTTTCCTAGCTAGGAAGCCGAGGTTCAACTCAATACAATAACTTGCCTCAGGTACCTGCCAGACTCCAGGACTCCACCCTGCTCCAGCTGCTCGAGCTGGTCAGAATAAAGCCAGGCTAGGAGATGGTCTACTAACAACCCCCTCAGTGTAAACCATGCATTCGCGTTTTCAAAAAAGGAGAAAAAAAAAAGAACTTAGCAACAGTAGCTAACCTAAATTAATCCCCCAAAATATCAGATACCAAATGTTCTGTAGCCTTCCTGTTCTTTGGGGTTTTTATTTCTCCCACAGAACAACTTCCAAAATGGGCAAAGAGCACAGTAGGTGGCTCTCTTTAATATTTCACGGGCAAGGCGACAGTGACTCACCAGATCCTACATCTGTGTCACCAGCAAAAGCCTCAGAAAGTTGAGCAACAAATGAAATTGTGTGTTATGTTGAATATAACCTGTTTTTTTGTGTGTGTGTGTGGGGGGGGGTTGGGGGGAGGATGGTGTGTGTATGTGTGTGTTTGTTTTGTTTTGTTTTGTTTTAATTCCTGCGTCCTCTGCTGGCTTCCTCCAGCCACATTCTGCTTTTCTAACAGTGCCAGGTAAGATGATGCTAACTGCCTACCTTTAAGCAAAAGCAAACACGCTCCCAAATGCCAAAAGCGAGGAGCAAAGAATTTCTCACAGAAATGCATTTGCAAGCTTGTCTGCTTGCTGCAAAGCAGAGAAACCCGATGGCCTGTAGGGAGTCTCAATGGATAAATGGCCCCATTGCCTGGACGGGAAACAGATCTGTTCATTTTCCTACATAAGCCTGCAGCCATCCGTTTCCACGGAGAGGACCAAAACTCCAGACCAGTGATCAGCGCCACCAGCAAGCAGTGGTGTTTTCTGCAAAAGCTGCCTCTGCTTGCTGCTCTCTATATTCTAACTTTACCCACAGAATTGGAGAAAGAAGTGAAAAAAGCTAGGAGTGCTACCATCACTCATGACATCTGTTCCTCAATCTTCTTACGACCCTTTGAATTAGCACAACGAAGACATAGGGATGACACAACTCAAAACAGGAAGGAAAGCGTGACATAATTCTGAACTTTATGTCTTCATAGTACTGTACCTCCTAGGAATTGAAGGTGTATTACATCAACACAGGAGAGTAGGAAGCTGCCTTAGAGATCATGGCTTTGAAACTTCCTCTCTTGAGAGCTGGCCCTGCTAAAAGCAACAGAGCATGTTTAAGGATTATTCCCTTTGCAAGGAAATATCCTCTTTGAGACAAAAAGGATACCATGCAATCTCCAGCCAAATAAGGTCCACCTACCGACTGCAGTAAATTACTAAATATCTCACTGAAGAGGCGACAGGGTGTGACAAGAAAAGCCTTCAACTAGAAATCAAAATGTGTGAACCATATTCTCTGCGCTAAAGCTTAATAACCATGTGACCCTTGCCAACCCCTCATTTCTCTGAATCTCATTTCAGTTTCCTTCTCAACAAACTGAGACCAGCGAAGAAGGGACATCATTTAATGAGCACCTACTCACTACATGTACTTTACACCATCCCACTTAATTTAACCCTTACACAAATCCTTTTGGGGGTCAGCTTATTTCCTCCTCCCATTTTGGGATTGGATAAAGCAGACACTCTAAATGGTGAAATAAATTGCTCAGTATTACCTACCTGCATAGAAATTAGAACTGAAATTTGATATGACCACAAAACCTGAGCTCCTTCCACTATTAATATTCCTGCTATGTCCTTCCTCCTCTCAGGGCTGTTGCAAGTAACAAAGAAGATAATATATAGGGAGCACATTGCGAAAATGTTAGATATATGTATGATTTAGGTAACAAATAACATGGATAAGAAAGAAAGGTATAACTGGGTATCTTTATTTTAAAGGACCGGAACAAAAGGAATTAGCTTCCAGTCTGCCTTCCATCCCCTTGTTCTGACCTTACTTTGAATATTTTCCTTTCCCCCACAAGTCCCTGGTCTCTCAGGCACTCGTTCAGATGTATCCTGGCCAGCTCATCACAATGCATGCACACGGAACAGGCTGTCGGAAGCGAGTGATCCCACCTCTGCCAATGCTTGGTGCAGGAGGTACCTATAAAGGGGCACCGCCAAGCTCTTGCCTTCCCTCAATATGGATCACACCCCCTCCCATGCACTCATCAATGCCACATGCAAATGCAAGGGACTGTGAAGCAGCCAACTATAAACGCTGGATGCTCAATTCAGGCACTTATGGCATAGCCGAGAGAAAAGTCAATCACTGTATGAAGTCAATCAGTATAAAATCAATTGTCACCAGCAGGTAGGGATATAGGTGGAACACTATTTCATTTTAAAATATAATAATAAATTTAAAAAAGAAGACTAGTGAAGGCATGTCTGGGTGTGTTTAAATAAGGTGAGCTTGTGTCTGGAATTTAGCAGCATCACTAAATAATCCAAAAGACATACATGGTAATTTTGTTGCTGTTTTCCTAGACTAACAAACAATATAAAGTTGCTTGTTTGACTTAACAGGAATAAAAGGCTTACATGAGTCTGTCACATGAAGAAACTTCCAACTTCTCTTGCCTTCCTTTCTCTCACCAAATTCAAGACTCTTTTTGCCAATAAAGAATCCCCCAGATCAGAGCTTCACCGACCCGAGGGTCAGCCTGAAAACTAGTAGAGACTGGCATGACTGAAAGCATTACTGGTATATTCCAAGTCAAGCACTCACGATTGAAGGAACACGTAGAGAGCGTTCAGAGAGCACTCGCCGTTCAAACTCCAAAGAAGAAAAAAACACAACATTGCAGATTTTTTTAAAAGTCACTCTAAGGTAGTATGAAATCACCTTTCTGAAAACCCACGGTCTCCAGTGTTACCACAGAACAGTATTTACCACAGCTGCCATCAATCTCAACCTGACCAGGTGCCCTGGCCAGGCACTGAGCTAAACATGTTCTTTGAATGATCCCATGCCATCTTCCTAAGTACCCTAAGGGCACATCGTGACAATTATAATCTCCATCTTGCGGCTGGGGGAAAAACAAAAACAAACAAACAAAACAACAACAACAAAACCCCACACTTCGGTGTCAGAAAGATTGAATAACTTGCCCAAGTTCACACAGCTAATGCGAGGCAGAGCTGGAATCAAAACGAGGCAACTGTCCGCCCTCCTCCAGGGCTTCTAACCCGAGGATCTGTGGAGCACAGCGGCAAATGCTTTGAGAGGCGCTGTGGTTCACAATTTCACAACCAAGGTTGGGGACTGACTCTTAAATGGCAGAAGTTTGCTTTTATGTGTGCGATGTTTCTCTTGAGCTCAGCTTCCTTGCCCCCTCCCAGTACGCACAAGTGAGAGGGGCCATGGCTCTTTAAACCAGCTGTTCTTCATCGAGGGGCATCCTATCCCCCACAGGACCCCCAGCTCAGCTTCCTCCCAGGGCTGAGAGAAAAATGAGGACCATCGGAAGTTACCGGCGCCCGGGCGTCCTCACCTCTTCACCGACTCCACCAGGAGCCTGACAGACACCCTCGGAAGGGGCATCTTTCTGAGAAAGCAGGTCAGGGGAGGAGGGAGAGAAGCTGCAAGGAGCCTTTCAACTGGCTGTCACAGCTCCAGGCTGGGAGCGATGAGGGAGGCTAGGACACACAGCTGTCTTCTCTCCTAACCGCTCACAGCAGCAGCGCTCCCGAGGAACCGGACAAACCGAGGCGGGGTATACCAGGGGAGATGCCGTGAAGGGCTGGAAGTGGGGTGCGGAACCCCACAACTGCGTGACTTAAATCCCTACAAAGCAAAGATGGGGCTCTGGACAGTTGGGTTGGAGTCCTGACCACAGCACTAACTAGCTGTATGATGTATCCCAGCTGCTGCCTTGCTCTGTGCCTCAGTTTGCCCTCTGGAGGGGAACAGAGGGTTGAACGAGACGGTTTGTGAGAATCCTTCTCCCCAGAGATGAGGTGGCTGGGTGATTCCTCCGAGCCCTCACGGACAGCGCGAGACTCACCTTTCTTGGCAGACGCCGTGGGCGCAGCGAAAGCGGCGAGGATGGATGCAGAGTCGCCCAGCGCCGCTTCTTTCCGTGCGTCTGGCCAAAGCCCTAGGGACCCTGATCCGGACAGTCGTCCCCCAATGAGCCTCTTACTTTCCGCCGCACTTTCTTTTTTCCCCCTTTGGGGCTCCTCCCTCGCCGCGGCACGATTGGCCGCTGCCAGCAGCTCTGGCTCCACCCCCCCCCTGGGTTCG